CCAAATCCAGTTTGCTCACCTCCCATAAGACTCAGTATTGAGTTGAAAACACAGCTACCACACAGACACCATGATCAATGTCTGTAATTGCAGCACTTGAGAAGCCGAGACATGAAAATCACAAGTTTAAAGCCTATCTGTACTATATTGGTGAGTTCAAGGCCAGCCTGAGCTACATAGCAAGACCCTGTCTCAAACCAATGACTGTCAAAAGGAAAAAAATAAAGAAAAGAACAGTTGTTGAATTAGAGATTCAAAAACATATAAATTATTACAAAGCTCCTTTGGTTGCTCCTTGTAGTTAAGTTACTGCTCCTGGTTCAGATATAACTGAAACATTTTATGAACAAATGAAAAAAAAGTTTTTGACAGTAGATGGACTGGCCTCTCATGGTACAGAACCCAATCATACTTTCTACAAATGTTCCTTCTTATTTTTAGGGATGTGCACTTGAAGACAATGGAGTTTCAAATCTACTAACTGGATTAATAAAGACATTAATAAAACTGTATAAAATATAAAACAAAATATTGCTATTTTCTCCAAATACAAAGAGCGTTTTTGCTTAGTTGATTCATATTCAAATAACATACAGATATAAATTTTAATATATTCTACTCTGTCAGTCCATAAACTACAAGCAAAGAAAATTACAAGATTATTAACCAACTAGATGTACTATATGCAAGTCTTATACACAGTTCTGATGAAGAGGGATGTGATATTTTTTTTGCCTAGGATATTGCAGATCTAGGGATGTTATTAAAGACACACATAGAAATACACACACATAAACACAGTTTTTCCTCTATACATATGTATGATAAACTTTCATTTTTCTTTGTCTTTGTTACATCCAAATTTCCAGAATTACTAATCTTGTGACTCGGGGCCATTTTTAAGCAAAAAAAAAAAACTGGTCCACATGCACTGCAGCAGTTCAGATGACAGCTGAAATAGTTACCGACTCCTGGGTGCCTGGGTGAATCTGTGTATAGTTGGCATGCACTAACAAAGGGCTGAATCACTGTGGGAGGGCACAAGAACTTAATACGCTACTGAGAATAGCGTGGAATCATAGTGGAAGCTTTTGTGTACTTTCAGTTTCCTGAAAATGTACAAAGGTTCCTGAAATGTTTTAAATTACTGAAATGGAAGTGATAATTTAAGACATGTGCCTGCCAAATGATTATCTTCGTCATTGGCCATAGAAAAGATGCTAAAATGCTGGTCTGCCATAAATTGAAACTTTGTTAATGTGGAAAAGAAAATGCACATAATTTGAAAAAACACTAGGAATGAGAATAGACAATATTCAAACAGATATTTATATACTGTTTCTCCAAAAGAGCTTCATGATTTTGGAAGAAATGCTAACACACCCTGACCAAACTCAACTTGGGAGGAAAGGATTCATTTCATCTTACAGTTGTAGTCTATTGCGCAGGGAAGCCAGCACAGAAACTGGAGTAAAAACCATGGAGGAACGCTGCTCACTGGCTTATTTTTCAATACTTGTTCAGCCTGCTTTCTTATACAACCAAGGGACCACCTGCCCAGCAGTAGACCACCCACAGTGGTCTGGGCCCTCACACATCAATCATTAATCAAGAAAATACTCCAAAGACTTGCCTTAAGGCCAGTCTTACAGAGGTATTTTCTCAATTGATGACCCTGGCTTGTGTCAAGTTGTCAAAAACCTAATCAGCACAGACATTATGTGTAGGTTGTGAAACAACTCTCATACAAGAAAGAAAATTAGAGGGAGCTGTATTTGAAAATAAAATAGCTTCAGAGTATACATAAGCACATACAAAGTCATCAGAAAAAGCACCAGAGTGAAGTAGGACTCTCATTTCTTTTTAATTATCTCTCTAATGCAGTGTTTTTGCTTTCCACAATTTCAGTTGCCTGCTGTCAACCATGGTCCAAACTTATTAAATGAAAATTCCAAAAATTAGCCATTCGTAATCATATATTGCAAGCTGTTTTCAGTAGCGTATAAAGTTCTTGTGCCCTCCGACAGCGATTCATCCCTTTGTTAGTGCATCCCAACCACACATGATTCACTCATGAGTCGGAAACTAGTTCAGTCCTTGTCTCAGCTGCAGCAGTGCATGTGGGCAAATAAAAATGGCCCCGAGGCACAAGACTAATAAGTAATTCTGGAAATTTGGATGTAACAAAGACAAACAAAATGAAAGTTTATCATAATCATACATAAATAGAGAGGGAAAAATCTCTGTGTGTGTGCATGAGTGCCTACGTGCGTGCGTGCGTGCGTGCGTGCGTGTGTGTGTGTGTGTGTGTGTGTGTGTGTGTGTGTATTCAAAACTATCCCTAGTTCCAGGGATCTATGGGAGTCTTAGAATACTTCCCCCAAAGATAAGGGGAGACCAATCCAGTATATTTCTAACTTACCTGGAATCCATTCAGTCTCACAAATTAGTTCTGTGTTGTAAGACTTTTTTCATAAGAAAGACAAGTTTGGTGCTGAAGAGATGACTCAGCTGCCATGATCATATACAGCTCTTGCAGAGGATCTGAGTTCAGTTCCCAGAATACACATTGGGCAACTCACAACTATCTGTAATTTCAGCTCCAGAGGATCCTACACCCTCTTCAGGCCTCATGTGCACACCACACACACACACACACACACACACACACACACACATAATTAAAATAAATAAAACCTTGCTTTTGTTTTTTTGAGGCAGGTTTTTTTTCTGTAGCCTTAGCTGTCCTTGAAAATCCTGAAACTCACTCTGTAGACCAGGCTGGCCTCAAGCTCTCCGAGATGTGCCTGCTTCTGCCTTTCTTGTGCTGGAATTGAAGATGTGCACTACCACAGTCAGGCTAATAAAACTTTTTTAAAAGACAGACTTACTTTCTAACATCCAATGCACTTTGAAGTGTTCAAAACTGAAAGATTTTTTTCCTGGGCAGCCTGTATGCCTGTGCAAAGGGTCTGATTAGCTGGGAAACCGTCCACCAAGACAATCCTATAGCATTGAAAGAGTGGGCCAGGCATTTTCAGAGAACTAGGAACTAATTTCAAATCAAAAAACCTATTGCTGGGCTGGAGAGATGGCTCAGAGGTTAAGAGCATTGCCTGCTCTTCCAAAGGTCCTGAGTTCAATTTCCAGCAACCACATGGTGGCTCACAATCATCTGTAATGGGATCTGGTGCCCTCTTCTGGCCTGCAGGCATACACACAGACAGAATATTGTATACATAATAAATAAATAAATAAATAAATAAATAGATTTTTAAGAACCTATTGCTTCTAGCACATCAAATTTAAGTATTACAAATGCAAAGATGCATTTTGAATGGATATTTATCTTACATTTTTATTATGTTTATTTACTTGTATATGGGTGTGTGTGTGTGTTTTCACATGTGGAGGTCAGAGGACAACTTTCAGGGGTCACTTCACCTCTTCCAGCTTGTATGTTCAGAGAATTGAACTCAGTTCACCAGACTTAGCAGCAAGCACCCTTGCCTACTAAATTATCTTGCCAGCCTGATAGTTTTCTTAATGTTATTACGCTGAAGTAACATGAGAAAAATCATTCTAAGAGGATCTTGCTAAGATCTGAGTTGTATATAAAAGTGAATATTATATTTAACTGTGTTCAGCTTTGTTGTGGAGTATTTGTTTACACTCTAAAAATGTATCTTTGCCAAGACACCTTCTGATTGATTTAATAAAGAGATAAATGGCCAATAGCTAGGCAGGAAGAAGTTAGGCGGGATTTCTGGAGACAGAGAGGACTCTGGGAAGAAAAACGGCAGAGTTGCCAGCCAGATGAGGAGAGGAAATGGAAGGTGCAAGATGGAAGAGAAGTGTGGCAGAACATAGATTTTAAAATATGAATTAATTTAAGTTATAAGAGCTAGTTGAGATAAGCCTAAGCTAAAGGCCAAGCTTCATAATTAATAATACATCTCCAGGTCATTATTTATGGGATGGCAGTCCAAATAGAGACCAACAAGAAGGCTTGCTACACAACTTTTATCAAATATACAGTATAAAAGAAGAATCTCCCAAAAGCTGTATTAGAACACAAACAGCAAGAAAAATCTTTGACTCCGCAGCTAAGAGTGCTAACTGCTCTTGCAGAGAAGATAGGTTTGGTTCCTAGCACCCACATGGTGACTCACACCCTTCTCTAACTCCAGTTTCAAGAGATCTGACAGTTTTTCTGACCTCTTTGGACTCCTGCATACATGTGGTGCATATATATGCACTCAGGCATACATGCATACACAGAAAAAGAAAACAAATATTTTAAAAATATTATTGTACTATAGGAATAAAAGGAAAATTTCATTTTATTTTGAATATAGGTGATAGCTGTTTTTTACTTTGTTTATATTTCCCTTTTAAAACTTGCATACATCTATTAAGAAGAAACGATAGTATAACTCACAGAATCCACGAATATATTTGCTGACGGAAGACAAAAATGAAAAATTGTCCTATATTTTTGGACATAGCCTGTTTATTGCCTTATTGCAATTATTTAGTCTTACTGCTTTGTTACCAGTTGTACAACAGAAGACTAAATTAAAGAATTAAAATGAACATTGATTTTCAACTAATAACACTGTGTATAATTACTTTTTATATATTGTCTTATAAATTTCCTACCCAGTAGAGTTGTGTTCCGGGTTGTCTTTCTAAAGGCTAAACAGTATAATAAAGGGAAAAGATGATAGAGACAAGGGACTGCTTGTATATTGCATAGACAAGTTTTAAATCAAAACTGGAAGTCAAACAGTGCCTTTTCTTTTTTTTTAGTGTTATATACTATGTACAAGCTACTCATTTATTAGTTTCTACTTATTTGGAAGGGGTAATCGTTGTTAGTTTTGAACACAGGATAACTTTTTTAAGAGCGGGGGGGGGGAGGGGAGACGCTACGGACTGAAGGTTCCCACGGGGAATAAGGCGTGACTGAGGGGGGCTGGGTGGGGTGCGTCACTAGAGTGCTTGGCCGGTCGTCAAAGTTCAAAATGGCTGCCGAGAAGTCGGACGATTCTGACGAGATGGTTGAGGTATCCGAACAGGTAAACTGTTCTACCCTAACTGGAAGGTTTTCTAAGCCCCTAACCTTTAATATGTGGGTGGTACTATTGGGGAATTTTAAATAAAACAATATTTGTTGTAACTAAGAGTTCCCTTCCGTTGCGAGGAAGTGACAGAGCCTTAGTAGGCAGGCCTAGTTCAGTCTTAGTAAGCAGTTGGTGTGAAGACGTTACCATCACAGCTCTAGAACTAAATACCGAGGCACTATGAGATGTGATGTAATTTTGTGAGGTCACCATAATAGGACTTGTTCTTAATTAATGGACTAAGGGAAAAAGACTTTATGGCCTGGCCGTTTCTAATCTAGGGGTCACGGCAACCATTTTGAAGGCAGAAGATAGTAGAACAGTTGATGCTTGTAGAAACAGGATTCTCCCACACCTTTTAAGACAGAGACTGTTAACTGATGTCTTTTTAATGGGGGGTGGGGGTCGGGAGAGTAGATGCCAGGGCATGACCGTCATAGTGCTCAAGCCCACGGGCATTTCGTAGAGGAGGACAGGTCTACAAACTTGTCTCATGCTCTCTCTTTGCTGGTCCCTATGCCTAACATATGCTGAAAATAAAAATGGAACTGGGAACTCTGGAAAGCAAGAAAGGGCCCAGTTTGGACCTTAGTGGGATGAACGCTTCAGACCGTGAGAAGGATAGAGGGAAGAAGGTGCTTATGAAGACTTGACCAAAACCCTACACGTAAAGAATAGTGCCCATTTCAGTGGTTCACAACCTTCCTAAGTCTACGACCCTTTAATATAGTTCCTCATGTTGGAGTAATTATTAAACTTATTAAATTTTAATTTTATATTATATAATTATTCATATTTACATAGAATAGATTTAAATATTAAATATAATATATAAAATGTTAAGATTATTAAATTTTAAATTATTAAATAGAGTTATTAATTAAATCTCCATAAAGTTATTCATTGCTACTTCAGAATAACTGTAATTTTGCTACTGGTATGAATCATAATGTAAATATTTGATATGCAGGATATCTGATATGCGACAGCCCACCCACCAACCCACCCACCGCAATGGGTCTTGAACCACAGTTTGAGAACCTTTGGTCTATTGGGTAGGGTTGTCCGATTTAGGAAAAAAAAAAAAGAATTCAAGAATGGCTAGTTAAATTTGAACGTCAGCTAAACAGCACATAATTTTGTAGTATCAATATGGCCCTTGTAAATGTGGTAATAACGCTTACAAAACTGTATTCATTGTTAATGTGATTCTCAAATGTAAGGGGAGGTTGAGTTCGCCAGGGCCCTGTTCACCCTGAGACAGGTGGAGGAAGGGCCTCTGCGGGAATTCCAGGAAATTCCAGGAAATTCAAAGGACAGGAGGTCATGAAGGGGAGTGAGGATGGTGGGAGCAGAGCTGGGGTCGTCTGCTGCCCAGCCGCCCAGCGTTACTAGGGCGACTTTTCGGCATCTCCGTCTGGGCGCCGGCGGCCACCCGGGCTCCGGGTAGCCGCGCCCACGCAGGTGGGGGCCGGCGGCTGGGAACCCGCCCAGGCGGGCGAGCCGCAAGCTAGGCCCGCCTTTCCTTCCCCACAGGGGTGGAGCCCGAGCGAGGAGGAATCAGCCTGCCAAGCTCTCGCCCTGGTGGAAGACTCGCAGGAGAAAATGGAGCCCAGCAAGATGGCGCCTCCCAAGAACGCTCCTAGAGATGCATTGGTAAGCGCGAGGGCAGCGAGACTGAGGCGCACTTGGAGGCGCCCCGTGTGGCAAGCCTGACTGAGTGCCTGGCGGGGAGGCAGGGGGTTCGCGTGCCATGTGCAGCTGGGCGACATAGCTGGAAAAGGGCAATAGGGTTCCCCTGTCCCTGGGGCGCCGTCCGCGCTGCGGGAACCCCTCTGGAGGGGCGCCGGCTGCTTCAGGGCTTTTGTCTCCTTAGCGCCGGGCCGCTCCCCCCCCCCCCCACGCCCCTGCCCAAGTCTGCAGCCTCATCGGTTCACCCAGTCTGTGAGTCCTGACTGCGACATACATGGGTTCTGATGCTAGCTTTCCTCACTGTCAGATCTGAAAATGACAGCCAGCTGGACCCACCCCTACCTCTGCCTAGAAAGCCAGTCCAGGCCTTTCTTGTGTCTTTGCTCCCACCCTTGCTAAAATAAAAGTTATTACCAAGAGCATTTGACTGATTTTGTGTGATCGCTGACACTGGAGGAGGCACAAGGCGGAGTTTGGGACTTGGTAGCAAACATAGAAATATGCCTCCAGTCCAGCTTTGATTTCTTTTATCTACATTGTGCATCTGGCTTATTGTTTTTATTTGAATCCACAGGTGATGGCACAGATCCTGAAGGATATGGGGATCACTGAGTATGAGCCAAGGGTCATAAATCAAATGTTGGAATTTGCTTTCCGTAAGTTAAAAAAGAAACTTGACCTTGTTAATTAGAAAAGATGATTAATTATAACACTTTAAAGCATATTCTGTTACCTGTCTAGAAATGAGTAAAGCACTAAGGAGGAGCCCAAGTTAAGGGACAGCAGTATTTACATATAGCATGTATGTTTAACTAAAGTACCATGCAAATTGGACAGCTATTAAAACCAAGACAGAAAGGTTCCAGAAATTAGTGGAACCTTTTAAAAGGAGCCATAAATAAATATATAAATAGTATTTATATATGTGTATATTTATTATTTGTATATATAGTATTTACATATATATGTAAGTATGTCTTCATGTAATAATATTTTGCTCCTAAAGGCTATGTGACTACAATTCTGGATGATGCAAAAATTTATTCAAGTCATGCTAAGAAACCTACTGTTGATGCAGACGATGTGAGACTGGCAATCCAATGCCGGGCTGACCAGTCCTTTACCTCTCCTCCTCCACGAGATGTGAGCAAACATTTATTTGCAGTTATTTTTACTTGCACTTTGAAAAATATATTTCTAATGAGGATTTTTCTCTTTTAGTTTTTACTAGATATTGCAAGGCAGAAAAATCAAACTCCTTTGCCACTGATTAAGCCATATGCAGGACCTAGACTGCCACCTGATAGATACTGCCTAACAGCTCCAAACTATAGGCTGAAGTCCTTAATTAAAAAGGTAAGAATTTCTGGCTCAGGCCTTAATCCCAGCAGTAGGGACGCTGAGGCAGGAAGACCAGGAGTTCAAGGCCATCCTTGTATCTTCAGGGCCATCTCTTATCTCAAAAAAAGGGAAGTTTCAGTTAGTTAATGTTTGGGGGTTTTTGCGGGGAGGAGGGGGTGTTTAGATTGGTTTGTTTTTTTGTTTTTGTGTGGTTTGGTTTGTTTTTTCCAAGACAGGGTTTCTCTGTAGCTTTGGAGCCTGTCCTGGAACTCACTCTGTAGACCAGGCTGGCATTTTACTCACAGGGATTCACCTGTCTCTTCCTCCTGAGTGCTGGAATTAAAGGAGTGCGCCACCACTACCCAGCTTAGTTTATGATTTTTAAAAGGTGAAAATAATAGGTAAACTAATAAAAAGCAAAATTCTTATAGATAGCACAGTATAGGTTAAAATAATTCTTAGAATTTTTTTTAATTTCCATCTAACCCAGTGGGAATTTTTCTCATCATACAACTGAACCTGAACTCATGGAGTCAATGGCAAAGCTATGAGCCACATCTAGTAGTTCATAATCTACTTTGCCATAGCTTCTTTGATGTGTGAGATCCAATAATGAAGTGTATGATATCTAATCAGTAATTAGACCTTTTTCACACATATCACCTAAGGTTGTCTCAGCACTGAAAAAGGACACCCCATATTAGGCTACCTTTGTTTTCTGGAATCTGCTGTAAGCCAGTTTTCATTTAGGCACAGTTAAAACACTGACTAGTTAAAATCCAATATTATAATACAAGGGAGTTAGTATTTGTCTCCATTCATACAGAATTAGATAGGGTCACAATTATGTATGTATGTATGCAAAAACTCCAAATATTGGATTTAAAACAGAAGAGTTCAATCTTCAGTAGCATGGCAAAAAGAAAAACACAATAAAAACAGACATTTTTTTCATTTGATTATTCACTAATAACTCATATCAGCAGTTATTTCACTTTTCATCAAGTTTAGGTGTCAAATGTTAACATTAAAACTAACTTGTGTTTAAATCCCCCAGGGACCTAACCAAGGAAGACTAGTGCCTAGATTAGGTGTTGGTGGTGGTAGTAGCAGACCTGCTACTCCTAATGTAGGTAAGTTAAAGAGCTAAATGGCCCTTCTGGACAGTAAGAACAATGTCTCAGCATGTGCCTTTGGACAATAACCAAGGCAAAATGGGAGTCAGAAACTCCAATGTGTTGCTATTCATAATTTTAATCATCAATGAAAAAAAAAACACAAAGACTGACTGATCCCAAACGAGATTGGCACAGCTGCTGTTGGCATAAACTGTGGTTCCAGAAACACTTTGTGTTTCCACTTTCTGTGCTTCACAACACCACATACACCCATGCCAGCTACCTACTTACTGAGAACGTAAAGACATGTCTAGATAAACTGGCTATAGGTTCAAAGTTTAAAATCTAAAGAAAGCTCAAGGATGTTAAAAATAGGTTTTAATACTTACCTTTTAAAACCAATACAAGAACCAGCCTGGGTGACATAAAGGAGATCATGCTAATTATATATGTCAGTAAGAGCCCTCAAGCTGTGGCCTATAATGTATGATAGCTCTCCATCATGCTATGTACATTTCTGACAAACGATGTTCCAAGCCTATCTTATATTTGCCAAGCTTTAGAATCAATCACTTCTCCAACTAAACCTTAGTTCATTTAGTGAATAGTATTTAGGAACTCTTATATGTAATGATTTAAAAAAAATAAAACAAGTTTTCTGATTTTTTTCATATTTTTTGACTTTTTTTCATGGTTTGCAAAAAAAAATCCTTTTTCCCTTGTATTAATTTCATGGTTCTTGCTGCTTTTAACTTGGTTCTTACCAGTGTCATTGTATGTCTAGTATAAAAATAATTTTTTTAAAAACTGGGTCTTAATCCATAACCCAGGATAGCCTTAAATTTGCTAGCCTTCAGTCTTCTGAGTATTCAGGTTACAGTTGAGGAATGCTGACCAGCTATGATTTGACCTTTGAGGTGTGAACCATCTCTGCATTCTCAGGATATGAATTTGCATGTCAGATAGGAATTTGCATGTCAGCATTTTAAAGCTGTTATTAGTGAGGTATATATCTCCAATAACCTACATAAAACCTCCAGTGAACAAAAAGTTACATATGAAATCTGTAACTTTAAGTCATATACTGCTTACCTGTATTCAAATTAATTAAGTGAATATCAAATTTTTGCTTTGTTGTTTCTGTGAAAATTACCTCACTATGTTGCCCACGCTTGTGTTGAACTCCTAAGCTCAACTGTTGAGCCTGTCTCTGGTTCCTGACTAGCTGACTACAGGTGTGTGTCACTGACCAAGAAACAGCAGGGTGTAATGAGCAGGTACAAGTGGCAGACAAGTAAGCCAACTTCGGTTACCAGTTGCTTTTTTTACATTTCAAGTCATTTGTTAGACATTCTTTAGAGTGTAACACCTAGAAATCTTAATCTAAAATTTCTATTAAAGATGTAATCTTTAAAATTAAGGAAACTTTTCTTTAGCACAGTAAACATACTTCCTAAGGAAAAGTAAGGGGAAAAAACCCGAGAGGGATTACAGAGGAAGAATACCCATTGTAAAATCGTTTTAATTACTCTGCCCTCATATTTTTTTGCACCTCCCATCAGCCCTCTAGACTTTGAAGGTGTATTTCTGTACGCTATGGAGTAGAGAATATAAATATATAAGAAGTCATCTAACTGCTATGATCTGTTCATTGTAACTACAGCACCCCCACAAGCAGTATCTGTTCCAAATAAAGTTCCAACTCCAGTGTCAGTGACAAGCCAAAGATTTGCAGTGCAGATTCCACCTTCTCAGTCCGCACCTGCCAAACCAGGTAACATGATATGGATGCGGGGACAGAATTCATGAATAACTTTCAATTATACAAGTTTGTCTTACTGTAGGAAGACTGGCTTTAGTGTCACAACAGGTTGATGGGTAGAACTGCAAATCAGTGATCTTTGAACAAGGTCTCTACCATTAGGTTAAGTTATACATATACCTAACATTTCAGGAGGGTGGTATATTGAGTGTTCTCTTCAAATTCTAAAATACTATAAACTAAAAGAATTGGGGTTCGCAGATCTAAGGTATCTACAGGGAAAAGCACTTCAAGTAAAAACCCAAGAAAATGATACCATTTAGTGAAGAGTGTGAATGATCCCACTGTAAATTAGTGTGCCTCATTCATTCTCTAGGTGGCAGCTGTGACTGAAATGTTAATAGACTGCTAGCATAACAGTTGCTTATGTGTATGTCCAGATTGCTTCTTTTGAAACATTATCACCATACAAGAAATAACTTAGGTAAAAGTTAGCCTAGCAAGATGGCGCTGTAGACAAGGGCACTTGTCACCAAGTCTGATAACCTGGGTTCAATCCCTAAGACCCAGATGGTGTAAAGAGAGAACTACCCCCAAAAGTTGTCCACCGATCTTCACGTGTTCCATGGTGCACACACACATAAGTAACTAGATGCAATTCTTTTGAAAACTGCCCTATGAAAGAAGCATGTCTCCTGGCCTCACACATGAATCCAGTACACTAAATGCTAATTACAAGGTGTATTTAAAATAAAACAAATTTTGTTAAATTTGCAATAATTTTAGGGAGAATTATCTATACATAGATGAAAATATACTTATGCCTGATAAAATCACTACTAGCAAATTTAAGATAAAAATTTTTAAAGATTGAATCCCACTCTTAGTAATTCCATGTATCTCTATGATGTAGTTGTGTGCTGTGCTAATGAACTTGTATAAAAATTACATTCTGCTTTGCTGTCTATTTTTGTATCGTGGGTAACTGACATCTGTGGGGTTTCCTTCTATTTATAGCTCCGGCCACAACTACAGTCCAAAATGTTCTGATTAATCCTTCAATGATTGGGTCCAAAAATATTCTCATCACTACCAACATGGTTTCCTCACAGAATACAGGCAGTGACTCAAACCCACTGAAGAGGAAGCATGATGATGACGATGACGATGACACGATGTAAAGAATAAAGTCTGTTCCACAGTTATTTTAGTGCGTTTGGGCCCACATGGTAGACTGAACAGCCTAGGTCTTAAGTTTTATCTTAGAAATATAGTAGCGGTATTTTTCACATTAGATACACGATAGGTTTCATTAAGTACAAATATTTTCTCAGTATGCTTCAGATATACAAGTCCTTGTTTCTAGACAGCTTTAGTCTCACCATTTTATTTTTAGAAGCAGTTTTGTGCCATGTCACTGACAGCAGAACTTAGATTCCAGTTCCTGGTCTCATTTACATTTAAGCATGACTTTGTTAGGTCAACTATTCACACTGTCACCTTTGCGACCAAATCTCTCAATCTAGTAAACTTTTTGGAAACAGTGGATTTAGAAGGGTGCTAAATCCATTTTGAATGTATTTGGGTTTGGTCTTTTCTAATTCCCCGCCTCAGCTGCCTATCTAGATGCCATTCAGTTTCTGTTCGCACCTCCCATCGCCTTCCGTCACTTGCCATGGCACTTAAATAGAAGACTGTAACTGGAATTTGTAAAACACCTAGCATTTTGTCGTTCACTTGAACCTGGGCGTCTGCATTTGCTTTTTCACTCCCGAACAGAGCAGGCGGTCTCAGCCCTTCCCTTCTTTGCCTGTTAGCTTAACTCACTGACATCAGTTCCATTCAGTTGCATTCCAACTTGATAGCCTCACCATCTTTCATGTTTATAATTTAACAGATATAATGTAAAAGCTGCCTTGGTAAGTAATTTACACTGGACCTAGATAAAACCACTGAAATTAAGTGTTTTTGTTGTTTCTTTATTCTTCCCACCTGCATACATGCTTTGATCACTACTGATTGAACCAGTCTATTGGTTTCATTCAGATCAATCTTGCTACTGAGGACGTCACACATAAGATCAAGCCTGAAACTAGAGTCTCATGATTCTCCTTCCCCATAAGGCCAACAGGGAAAACAGATTAGTGTCACCTGACTCCATTCCCAACCATGTTTCTAAACACTTTCTATCTTGTTTTTATACATACCTACAAGACACACTGGGGAAGACTGCAAGGCTTTTGAGTATAAAAAACACTGATTTGCCAATACTGGAAAAATGTAAACACAAGTTCCCAAAACCTCCATATTAATTAGATTTTATAGCCATGGGTCATCAAACTTACTAAGTATCGGCACAGGATGGTGTTTGACACAACAGTACAGTAACAAGACAGCAATGTCTCGTCCCGGTTTGTATGTTTAGGAATGTTACGGAAGGCTGAGCTGATCAGTATCACAAGAGAAATGTGCACTCTACAGCACTCATGTCACTACTTGAATGTTCTCAGGGAGGCAGAATATTCAGCGGCCTGGCTTCTACTACTAGTTTCATTACCAAACATGTGACCTTACTTTACCTCTGAGCCTTGTTCACTAGTAATGGGAAATACCACCTACCCTGCCTACCTCACAGGGATATTGTGAGGGTTTAGCTGGTGTGAGAGAAAGTTCTCAAGATTGTAAAAACTATAAGTAATTATTAATGTATTTGTTGCAAAATTATTAATAAAAATTTAACTTTATCAGTGACCTTTTATTTCTGACTGAAGGGATTCAAGGAGGTGAATAAGGCAATAGTAGAGCAATTCAGATTATCAGGGGACAGCTTGCTTTTGCTGGGAATTGGCATTTGGTTCATAGTAAAGAAATCAATGAAAATCAAATATGGGCTTAAAATCTTACAAACTGAAGATGCTCTGTATGATGGGAATGTGTATAGAGATCCCTGTCCTAAACTATAACTGATGGGTGCTTCTGGGGAGGAAAGCCAGTAGACAGGTTGGCAAATAGCTGTACACTTTTTGGTTTCATGTAAATCTCAATGCCAGGGGGAAATTGGGTATTGAAAAAGTTGGAAGCAATGAGCAAACTGGAAGTGGTGATGCATACTTATAATCCAAGCCTTCAGGAAGCTCTGGCTGGTTCAGAATCTAAGTTTGAAGCTAGCTGAACAATAGTGTAAAATAGTGGAACCCTCCCCCCCAAAAAAACCCAAAATGAGTTCCTCATTTATAGTATGGGAATTCTGTGGGCATATTAGGGGATTGAAAGTGATTTTACTATTTAAAATCTATGCCTTTCAACATTTATCAAGTTACACTATTCTAATTTACATGTACAGGAACAGTTCGATCCTGGGTATCTTATTTGATAAGGTTTTAAATTCCTTCAGGACAAAAATCCTATCTTATACTCCGTCCATTGTGTCCTAAGTACGCAGTGGTACTGAAATATTTGCCTATTTGCCAAACTACCTTTTCTTTTAAGCTTGTTTTTCTACTCAGTCTCCGTATTAAAGATCTAAATAGGGGGCTGGAGAGATGGCTCAGGAGTCACTGGGGGCTTTTCTATGACTCTGGTTGGATTCCCAAGACCTACATGGCAGCTCACAACCATTAGTAACTCCAACAATCTCTTCTGGCCTCCACAGGCACTGCACACATGTAGACAGATGTACATGTATGCAAAAGACCCATAAACATAAAAATAGTCAAATTCTAGAAATAGAATCGAATAGTAGAATAGAATAGTAGAATAGAAAATCCTAGAAATAGAATCTCATAAAACACTTTAAAGATACAATAAAAAACTAATAGATGATGCTGTCAATTAGTAAAAAATGCATGGATATCTATTTACAGGGTTTCTTGTTTTTCTGTAGCTTTGGAGCCTGTCCTGGAACTATCTCATGTAGACCAGGCTGGCCTTAAACTCAGAGATCCGCCTGCCTCTGCCTCCCGAGTGCTGGGATTAAAGGCATGCGCCACCACCACCCGGCCTAGTTCTTTCAGCTTCAGAGCACTTGAACTAAATATTGAAAGGTTGGGGAGGGCAAGGAGAATCAGCAGTTAGGTAAAGCTCTAGTCCAACAGTAACATTTACTTACAACATCTAAGCTTCATCTGCAAAATTCCTGCTGCACAAACCAGGTCTGATACTGTACATAAAAATAGTACATTGTACAATTAACTACAAATATGGAGAAGCATATAAACTAGAATGCAAAAGAATTAAGAAAATAACTGGAGTTTTCACAATTTCTGCTTAAGCAACTGCCAAAATGGATTTGACAGTGGCAATGAAACAATGTCTTCAACTCTGATAAACTGATATTCAGGCTCTAACTATGTCTACATAACCAAGGGTAATTAGATAAACATGAGTATCTGTATTAAACAGACTTTGTACATTTTTTGGCATTTAAGAGATGATCTAATGTTAGGAACTTTAAATAATATAGATGACTTAAAGCATGAGCGGTTATACAGATTTTAGGGAAATACATTTTATAGAAAGAATGAGCATCCGCAGATTTTGGTATCTGAGATACAGTTCCCCGTAGATGCAAAGGGTTTATAAAAGCATGGCCGAATTAATAATCAGGTTTAAGAGCTGAACAGCTAACTTCAAACCAAGTCTCAGATCTTCCTCCTTGGCAGTCTTTCTCAGGAAATTACTAAATCCGGATTTGCATAAAAAGTAAATCAGCTAGGCATGGTGATGCATTCCTGCCATTAGCACTAGGGGGATGGAGGGGGCAAAGGCAGGAAGATCACTGGAAGTTCAAGGGCAGCTTGAGTTAGCTAATAAATTCCAGGTCAGTGAGGGCTGTAAAAAACGAACACAATTAACTATCCAAAAAAAAAAAAAAACAAAGTGAAAAATAGATGGGGAAACAAGGTTTCAAAAGTAAAAAGAATCCCCTAGAGGGATACAGGAAAGAAAGCCCTGAGCAATATGGCTACAACAAACCTAGGGTAGCCAGGAAAACTGGAACAGAGGCACCAAGGATTCCAGATTTTAAAACCTATCTGATGTGTTTCCATATACTTCATGTTCATACTTTTAGTGTATGTTGGAATGAACTAGTGGAAAAAATGAGAAAATTGTTGTTTTGAGATAGGGTCTCACTTTGTATAGCCTTGGTTGATGTGGAACTCCCTAAGTGCTAGGAGTGTATCATGACTCGTGTATCATGCCCAGCAGGAAAAAAAATATGGCTGAAGAGATAGCTCAGCACTTAAGAGCACTGCTTGCACTCTTCCAGGGGTCCTATGTTCAATTCCCAGCATTCACATGGTGGCTCACGACCACGCATGAGAGCTGATGCTCTCTTCAGGTCTGTAGGCATACACGTAGGCATAACACTGTATACGTAATATTTTTAAAAATGGCAAAATATAGCACACTACATACATATATAAATAACACTTAAAATCATAATGTAAACCTTCAGGCTTCACTACCCATGTAAAGGAATTACAAGCAAACACCATGCTCAGACCCTTCAAAATGTAAATTTCTGATCTACTTTATAGCAATGGCAAAACAATACTGAGAATGAAGTATATGTGGAAAAGAGGCTGTTGATTTCATTCTTCAAAGTATGAAATTAATAGACATGTTTGAAAATCTCAGGACTTAGAACCATGAAATGGGAATCAAGAAGAAAAGCCACGGTCACACTAGGCAATGTGAATCAAGAATGGGAGGAAGTGAGGCTTGTTTTGGTTGGTTTTGTTTATATCCAATTTTGAAATATTTATAGGCTTTCACTAAGGAATAGGCATGGGTCTAGTCCCACCTCCCCACTACTACAGCCAATCCTTCCATTCAAAATGTAGATAGATACTTGATCCCATATGAAGATTCTATTCTCACCTTTCCTAACAAAATATGACAGGAAAACTCCAGTTTCGGCGGACATCTTTATTAATAGATCATCAACTTCTCCAAATCTACAGCTGGAATTTCATCTTATTTCCATGCCGAGTCATGAACAGTGACCAAGCCAACCAGAGGCTACTCAAAGAGGACTAAGCTTTTGCAGCTCACTTTCTTTTCCAGGCAGACTATAAATAGATGCACTCTAGAACGCACAGTGGCTTTAGTCACTATGGGATTTAAGTGGGATCTTGAAGAATGTAGACAAATCCCGATGAAGTAAGGACGAGATGAGATGCTGTGCAACTGTTTAAGGGTTCCTGGTGCTGCATCTCGGTCACTAGCTGAATCTTGCACTAACACCAAATGGAGATGCGGAAAACACACTAAGTTGACTTAGGGGTTGTGCACAGGAACCAAAAGGCAGGAAAATACTAAACATTGCTGAGAGCATCCACCCCAGGAAGGACTTTACCTGTTTTTGAGAGAGCACATATACAGACAGCATTACTTTAAGACCTACTAAGCTACAGCTGCCCTATTTTTCTTACTGATAAAATAGGGGAGGAGTTGAAGCACTCCTGCATTCTTGGTCCCAGGTCAATTAAAATGTGTTCCTACCTAAGCCTCCCACCAAGTGGACTGCAGGTGCTAATATGACTGCTACTGTTCCCCACCCTGCCTTCAAATAAACCAAAGCAGAGAATAACCTCACCTTCCAGGAGCTCTAGACTGGCGCCACCCCCAGTGCTCACATGGCTGACTTTGTCCTCTGTATTCCATTTGGCACAGCAAGTGGCAGTGTCCCCGCCGCCTGTTGAATGAAGACCGGAGAAAAGTCTTTTGACATCAGAACTGTAAAGGTTCGACCCAAAAGGTTGCTAGCTAATGAACGCCCCACTGCATCTCAAGAGGAGCCCCGAAGAATGACCCCTCCATGACCTATCAGAGATTTAGAAAATATTAAGCACATTCCCCCTCTGCCTCCCCTGCACAGAGCTCCGCCACTGTTGCATTAGTGAGATTAGCACTGGACCCCTTACCTATGATAGTGATGCAACCCCTAGAAGTGGCTTTTACCACCTCATCCATGAGGGACTTGGTTCCCCTGGCAAAAGCTTCCCATTCAAAGACCCCCACAGGTCCATTCCAAACAATCTGCTTGGCTCGAGCCACAGCCTCAGCATACTTCTTGCTGCTCTCAGGACCACAGTCCAGGCCCTGGATGGTAGAATCAAGAGGATGAACCATTAAGAAAACTTACTAGGACCAAATATCACCTCCACCAAAACCATAATGTAAGGCTGAACAAACATCCAGAGTTTCTACTAGAATCAAAATGTACCCTTTAGTCTGTGTGTAAACACCCTTTGACAGAAGCATTCAACTTTATGGATCAAAGAAGGGACTTGCTCAACGGCAGCCAAGATAGGTGCTTCTCAACCTATATCGATTCTGACGGCAAACAAATATGTGCCAATGTCTGGAGACATTGTTGGTTGTCACAGCATGGAGCCAGCACAACTGACAACTTGCAGCTAGTGATACTTTACATGTGTCACAATGTAACAACGGCCTTGCCACATCTATTTGAGATGTCAATAGAGACAGAGAAACAACATTCAATTCTTCAATATATCATAATCTCTAGGAAGCCTTGCTCAAAAACAATGTATTGGACTTTATCTTTTTGTCTTGGGTTTGTTTTTAGAGATAGGATCTCACTATATACATTTGACTGGCCTGGAATTTGTTATGTCGACCAAGCCCACCTCAAACTCAGATGCCTAGCCTTCCCCTGAGAGTACAAGGATTAAAGGTGAGTGAGTGCCACCATGCTTAGTCTGGATGATTTATG